ACTAGCTTTGATTGTCCCGGCTTTGGTTTTATGTGTGTTGTCCTAAATATCTACACTCCCTGTAAATGCTTTGCTCTGCTGAAGACTATGTCAAATCCGTAAAAAGCCATGTTTTTATCTTGGGACTGGTAAATATTTAACAGTTTCAGACGCTAACAGATAATTAACTTCTAAATGACACATTTCATAACTTTGCTGGAATAAATGGAGTGGACTTCATCTGATCCTTCTCTGGGCAGAAGCTGTAGTTCTTGACACAGCATAAAGTTTTGCAACACAAGTTACAGACAATTATTTTATATCATGAAGCTTCATGGGATTCTCTGTAGCTTGTGTCTTAAATTTAAGGCACTCAAATGGCACTAAATATGCAGCTTTTAGAAACCCATGTGTATCATAAGACTATCTTTCAGGTATTAAAAATTATTTTAAAACGTTTAGTCACCAACAAAGAATTCAAATTCATTGCAACCGCAGGAATTATAAATAAGTCCACTTAGTAATGTTTGGTGGCTTTTAATAACTAGATCACAGAAGATGAATTACTGATTTTGTTTACACTCAGGATCTTTTCAAATTCTTCTATTAATCTCGTGCCACTAGACAGTCAACTAGCAGCTATTTTACCCCAACTTTACCACTGTTGTTAACGTTTGTAGAGCTCTACTACTCTTAGAGTGCACCTTTAAGCTTTGAGAGAGTCTCGTTTTAGAGGACAAAGAGGATTTTAATTTGATTTTTATTATAATTCTGTTTTCATTCAGCCATAACAACCCAAAACCCACAAATGGAAGGTTTATAGGTGTGATCACAGACAGAAAACCACGTGTATGAAAGTGTGAGCAAGCTCCCCTCTCAGGGCTAGAATCAAAGGGTTAATCTTTCTTCTTTCTCTCCCTCCCCTCCTCAAAGATAAAAGACACTAAACTTCCTACTTCTTGTTGCAAAATGCCATGTCTGTTGGGTAATTCAACTCTTACTTGGATGGTGGCAATTTTATATCAGTTTTCCCCCATTATTATGCCTCGAGCTGGTTCGAAATGGAAAAGCTGGCCCATAGACTCCTAATTTGATGAGAGCAAAAATAACCTGACAGAAAGGGACAAACTGAAGGCCAGGGACAGGCATCTTGCCGAGGCTCATTTAAAGAGTGTGTTAGACCCAAAGTAATACCTTCTCAATGGCAAATTTTTAGGCTCAGGGTGAAAAAAAAAGAGGCAACTCAGCCTACTTGTCCACAAAGTTAAATACAGCCCATCCACCAGGACTAAGCTGCCTCTGAGCAAGTCCTGGCTGCTGATACAGGTTAGGAGAGCTTCCAGCGTAGCTGATGGTGTAAGAAACTCTCTCTGCAGCACTGAGCAGGATTTCAGCCCAGTGGAGAATCCGGCCCTGCAAACCCAGCACCATCGGCGCATAATGCAAAATCCACAGCCAGCTCTGTCTGGGGCGTTACTAGACCTGATGATGAACTGTGGGATTTCCCTCTAGGTGTAGCTGTGTGTTGAGTATGTGAGGTGGAGGAGCACGTGGATAAAAGGTGTTCTTATGAGCTTGGGAGTACAGAGGAAGCAAGTAGAAGGAAAAAAAATTGCTTGGAAACACTCTTAAAATATTTATATGAGCTTGGTTTTGTGTGTCTTACATTTAATCTGTAATCTCCTCTCCTTTCTGGAGTGACCGTGTCAGAGAGAATTTTTTTTAAGGGCAGACCTGCATTTTAAATCCTCTGTCCAAATCTTGTGCTATGGTCTCCTGAAAATTCATGTTTGCCCTTTTGTCCACGGCAGATTTGTAATGACACTCCTAATGTACCACAGTGCGCCTTAGAATAGATGAGGCTGCTCTGGAACACAGGGGATTAAAAAAGTCCGAGGTGGTTGACTCATTCATGGCCCATGGCTGTACAAGTGCTTGCAAAATTGCTTCTGGCCGATGCTCTAGCACCTTTACCATGGAAACAAGGGGTCCCATGGCAAGTAGAGCTGTCCCTCAAGAGTCTCATAAAATGAAATCATAGCTGTGAAAATGCATATGCATAAAGCAGTGTTTGTAAAGAGTTACATTATCACACCTCTGCAATCACTTGCTCCTCTCTCTGTGCCAAACTTTAGTGAAACTATGGAATAAGAACAATTCAGAACTAGAGTAAGTGCTTTTAAACTATTGAAACTACCAGTACTATGTCCAAATTATCATGGAATCATGGAGTGGTTTGGGTTGGAAGGGACACTAAAGATCATTGAGTTCCAACCCCCTGCTGTGGGCAGGGACACCTCCCACTAGAGCAGGTTGCTCAAAGCCCCATCCTGCCTGGCCTGGAACATTTCCAATGATGGGGCATACAAATTCCACATTATGGGATTTGGGTTTGTTTTAATTAAACTGTCTTTTCTTTACCTAATTTTATGTAGTTCCCAGCAGTCCTTTGCAGTGGCCATGCCGTTATTTTATACCCCTATGAAGGCAGCAACGTTATAGTGCCTGCAGTGTAAGATGCCCACAGCAACTCAGCCCACATCCGCACGGCGCCGGCCGAGGGGATGGTGTAACCCAGCTGGCTGCAGCGGTTGCATCCTCTTACCCCAAACCTGAGCTGCCTGCTAGCCTCAGGTCGTAAGACCAGAAGTTTGTCCTTTAGCTTATTAATGTGCCCGGGGGATATAGAGCTCCACACCTCCAGGCTTAACCCAAGCAACTTTCTAACCAGCTGGCTGGGGTACCCGCAGCAGCAAAACTGGCCTCCACTAGCCATCGTGTTACTTGCCCATGCCCTGAAGCCCGTGCTGCCGCCGCTTCGTGCAGCTGTTGGTCAGCAGCCAGCTGGATTACGCCATCACATCTGCCCAGCGCCGTGCGGACGGGGTTGGAATTGCTGTGGGCATTTGATGGTGCAGGCAGCACAATGCTGTTACCTTCCCACATGTACAACATGATTGGCACGGCCACCGCGAAGGCCGTGCTGGGAACCACTTCAGATCGGATAAACACGAGACTTTTTTTCACTGAAACAAACCTGGACTCTGTAATAGCTTGGGTATGGTGCTTGTAGTTTCAGTAATTTGGCTATAGGAACTGCAAATAGAAATCCATTCAATTATAAAAATTCGTGCAATCATAACAGTCAGTGGTCACTGATGTTATCTGCACTGCGGGTAAATATGGAAAGAATGTCCTGTGGCCAATATTTCTACTCTTTGATGACCACATGATTATTTTTGGTTAGCTCTTACTATTTCCTTCTTGACTCATTCCTGAAAGGCACCGAAACATCCACCGTCTCTTATCGCTCAGGGAGCAGTAACTGCAACCACCTTGAAATCAGTTTTGCAAACCCGTATCCAGAGCATTTCCTACCAGAGGGGAGTGTGCTCTGTGTCTCGGCAACTTGAAATCCCCCCCCTCCCCGCTTCGTTTGACGTGAGCCGTGCCATCCAGCCTTTCATTTGGGCTTGTTGAGGCTGGACCGAGTCCGAGGGGGGGCCACCTGCAATGTCCTGGAGGTTAACACCACACCACAGGAAAATGAGGAAAGAAACATCGGTCTTGTGCAGTGGGGCTGATGATGGGTGATTCACCACCATTCTTCTCAGCTGGATGGAGGTTTTAATCCCCCGCCCCATCCCATCCCATCCCACCCCCAGCGCCCCACAGATCATCTCACGGCAGTCTGTGTGAACGTGGGGGGCTGCCCCGTCCTTCTGAGCGCACGCTTTGTTAGGCTGTCTCTGTCGTGGCCTGATCAGACTGTTGCAAAACCCCCGTAGGCAGACTCCCCGCAGTGAGTCACGGCTGCCGGCGTGGAGCTGTGCAGACCTCCAGAGGTGCGGAGCTGTGCAGGGAGCACAGCAGACCACCACCCTGGCACAGCACAACAGCGCACTTATGAAAGAGAACGTCTTAGTTGGAACGGCGAGGGGCTGTCAGGTTGTCGATTAGCTTCCAGGTAAAATTTAACGGGTTCATTGTGACCCCCAAAGCCCTACATGCCAGTCTGGCTGCTACAGGGCAGGGCTGCCCCCCTATGAAATATGTCCCCCCGGCATCTGCAGAGATTCTGAAGCTGTGCTCTGGAAGGGTGATCCCCCAGAAGAACTCGAGGCGCTGGAACGTGATCTGCTCTGCACCTCCAGGTCCCCAACCTTTCTTTGCTTGCGGCATAGTCTGATCTGTCTGGTTTTAGACCCCGCCGTCTGCAAGACTTTTCCTGTACATCCAACCCTACACCGGGAGAAGGAGCGGCATTACTCATACATAGTTTCAAAACTGTGGGTAAACTGGATGGTTTCTTGCTCCCATAGAGGTATGACTTCATCCTCCCTGTCTTCCCAACTTCATGCACTAGCATGGCTGGATTTAGGAGATGATCCTCTGCTTGGATCCATGCTGCCTCATCACCAGCTGAACAAGAATTCCTTCCTTATCACCTGTGAAGTGGAAAGTTCAGCGTGTGGTGAAGTGGAGCAGCTAGGTGGTACCTCTTGTTTTCTACCTGTCAGAAAATCAGCTGCATTCAGTTTAAACAACTTGCCTTGTCTTAACATGTTGTTTCATTTCTTGTTACTTGAACAAGAATAAAATTGGCTGGTACGGCAAAATTCAACCCCCCTGAAGCATAGTAGGCTACTACAATAATGTCTCAATATCGAACAAGTGAAAAATATTTCCCACTCAATGACTGTTGAGCCTTCCACAGCACAGGTAACTGGACAATTTACTCAGGTTATTCATGAGGAAGTTGTGATTAGCAGTGTGCTATTAATTGCTCAAACCCTCTGGTTTACTGCTGTTGTCCTTAAAGGATAAAAAAAAATTTTAGGCAGCCCAGTCCATTTCAAGCCCTACAATTTACATTCACTAAATTACTAGGACCAGATCTATATTCAGAAATTGTTCCATCCTACTCTGTGTGCTTCCTCATTCTGTTTCCTAGCATCTCTTTCCAAGCCTGTACTGGACAATTACCTTACATGCAGAAAATAACATCTGTAAGACTTCTCTTGGTTTTTTAAATGTTTATTCTCCTGTCATTGCTCAAAAAAACAAATTACAAAGCTATGTACAAACTGATATTGAGAAATGGTAATGCAAATTTACACAACTTTCACACTCAATAGCTGTTTCTGGTACTCTGCCTTTGTCCTTAGGATTTAATTAAATCTCTCACAGAAAACAGAATTTGCTAGTACTTGACCTTTGTTTTCAGAGCCCCAAAACACAAAAGGCATTTAGAATCAGTGACAATGCACAAAACACAACGCACTCCACTTAGCCCTCAGGGCAACACAATGTCCATCCTTTATATGGAGAGACCCTGGGTTAAAAAGGATTAAAATTAAGCCACAGTATTCTCTTCTAGGTCCTCTCCTGAAGAATCGCAACCCCTGCTTCAAGCTGACTCTACATTATGCAGTCCACCAGCGCACGATGCCCAGCGCAGGGTAATCTCTTTTTCTCACTACATAAACTATACCACCCTCCACTCTTTATTTGTCTTCACTGGCTTCCTTCCTGTCTCTTAACTCTTCGCTTCAAGCTCCTCATCCTCTGCTTAAAGACCAAACATAATCTCCCCGCTCCCATTTCTGCTCCCGCTTCCCCTTCCTCCCAGCGCAGCCGCCCACAGCCTGCTTTGCTCCGGCAGCTTCTCCTCTTTTGTTTCCCAGCTGCTCTCTCCGGCATCCTTTCAGCTTCTCTTTCCACCACTGACATCCCTTTCCTACATGGCTTTTTGCAGAGACACTTCACAGTTTTTCTTTCTTTTCTCACACTGACTTCTTGCTGTTTTGGTTTTTTTTTATTCTTCTTCCCTTTGGCATTAATGGCAGAGATTAGGTGGATTTGTGATGAACAGTCAATAAAGCGAGTGAAATTTTAATTCTTGCAAAACTCATTGAAACACATCTGAAAATTAATACTCTCAGCTAAAATGAACACTGGTGGAAAACTATTTAAGGGAAAACATGATCTTCAGTGGCCTTGAACTGTGAAGAAAAAGATCACTGAATGAGAAGCTACAGAGAATAATTTTGCTTCTGGTCAAGTTAACAAGGGACAGTAAGCCATACATTAAATGTATTCCTTGAATTACAGATTCACAGAATTGTCAGAGTTGGAAGGGACCTCTAGAGATCATCTGGTCCAACTCCCCTGCTAAAGCAGGATTGCCCAGAGCACATTACCCAGGACTGCATCCAGGTGGGTCTTGAAAATCTCCAGAGAAGGGGAATTGGAAGCAGTTTAATCCTGAAACTCTTCTTACCCATTGCAAAGAGGCCCATAGTAGGAGAAAGGTGTGCTCTTCCTATCACACCAGCCAGCTGGGCTGTGACATTTCCTCCTGTTGGTCTCTTAGTCATTTACCATCCCAGGAGCCGCAAGGAAGCCCAGTCACAGCTTCTTTCCCACCCAGCAGGGAGCTACACCTCTCCCTGCTATTCATGCAGCCTGGGAAAGCTCATCTGCTTCCCTGAAGCAAAAAAGTGTCTTTCTTGCATCTTCTAAAGCTGTGTCGCTCAGCACTGCTTGCAGTGCCAGGGCTCACAGCCTGATGTTTAGCTAACTAAAACCTGGGCTTTTTTTTTTTTTTTATTTGCTGTGGGAGTACAAAAAGGAACAAATACAAGCTAATATAGTTAAGGGAAATTCTTGAAATAATTTAGATTTACATTGCAACTGATGTTTTCATCACCAGTGTCCTGCAGACGGATCCTCAGGTCTGCTTTGGCATTTTCAGAACCCCTGTAATATTGCTTACAATTTACACTGCTGAGGGGCCTCCTACATTTAGGGCTTCTGGTTCTGGCCCATACGGTAGAAAACATATATTTTGAAGCCTTCTGCAGGAAAAGCAGGTGTCCACAAGCTAGGAAGATGGGGGGAGATGCACTCCACAGGCAGGGTGGCACTGGTCCCATTTCCATCCTCCTTGTTGGTTACATTATTTTTTTCAGAACAGATTACGCTCATACATCATTTACACAAATTCCTGTAATCTCTGCATTAAGTCTAAGGACCCGCTGTGGCCATATATATATATATATATGTACAGGGTGTAATGCACCTCTGGCTCTGCTGGGGCCTCTCCAGCGGCTCAGCTGGCAGGAGCTGCTGCGAGGATGTGTGAATCACTAAGGTGTTCCCCATTTCTGCAGGCTGTTTCACCAGCTGCCAGGCAAGCTGCAGTGCTACAGCCCGCTGCCTCGGGGACTCTCTCTTGCTGGTGGCCCTCTGCCGGGCTCTGCACAAGCAGGGGCCTGATTCCACAGACGGATGAAGGAGGGAAAGGCAGATGTTCTCCTGAAGGAAAAAAAAAACAAAAAACAAAAGTAAGTGCACACTGGAGACACATCCTGTACCATGACTGCACATGCCTACAGAGAATGCTCCACGCCACTCTGCTGCAGAAGCTGCCTCTCCAGGGCTTGCTTTTCCTTTGATTTTCCTATGACCAGAAATAGCAAATAACAACTCAGGAACCAAAACCTGTACCCCCTCCTGAAGCCCTCTGCATTCAAGAGAAACCAGTAAAAGGCTGTTTTTCTCCAGCATTTTTACGGTAATCTATTAAGCTATTTCCAGATCACTTGAACCAAGAATAGCCAGAGAATGTCAAGTCCTCCAGTACATGGCCGTACCCTTCGTTTCTCTGGGAGACACATTTCCAGGCAAGCAAACAGGCCTTGACCACTACATCAAATGTGCAGATCAATAAGTGTTATGTCCACGAGGTAGATAATTCCCCCCCCTGCTGTGTTCAGAAACAGGCAATATTCTACAACCCACCTCCTCTGCTTCTTCCCATCGCATTCGCCAGTCACCCTTGTTTTCGTTGTTCTGTCTTCGGCCAGAGTTTTGACCTCTGATTGACTTTGAAGTTTACATACGAGGAAAAACAGTCAGGCAGCTGCTAAAACAAGCGAGGGGAGATCAAACGGTTCTAAAAGAATTAAAAACAAACAGCTTTTATCTTTTTCTTTTGTGTTTACCAATACATTAACAGATCCAGAGAGATGGAGAGATACACAAATGCACATACATATATTTAAATGACAACATAAAAAAATTACATTAAAAGACTATTGTTTAGATTAGCGCAGCCGAACATTGAAGGACAAGGAAATTAGGAAAATTAGGAAATACCAGATTAAGATTGCTATGCTAATTTATTTCTGCCACTGGGTGTGATTATCCTGTGTTGTACAGAATGAGGCATGCATCCTGTGGGAAAGTCTAAAATATGACTGTGTCATGGAAGGGTTTGTAAGAAAACATATGTGCACGGGGAGGGACAGAAAAAGATCACCCCAGGAGCCTTAAATCTGCCGTTTTCTAATACATTAAGAACTGACACTGTAGCTTAAATGACACTATTTAATGATTGGGGCAGGGGGAATCAGATATCCTAGCTTGTCTTTTAGGGAGAAAAAAGCTAGGGGAGGGTAGCCCCCTGCAACTTGTTTAGAGAAACACAGATCCTTGCCATTTATTCAGTAACACAAGCAGTCATTGCAGGCATTTATTTCATCAGCTTTGGAGTGGAGGTATGATGTCAGGTGTAAGAAGGAGTTGTTTGGTACAGATCCGATTAGCAGAAATCAGGTTTTGTTTCCTCTACCTTACGAAACCTTCCTAACCCTCTTCTCTATTAAATCCAGTCCAGAAATTTCATTCTGCTTTTGCTTAGGAGAACAGTTTCTCCTAATGCTTCATCGCCTATTACTATTTTAGTGTCAGTGAGAACTCGGGTCTCTGAAACGGTGATGTTGTCCACTTAATATATTGGCAGACTGCCTTGACCTTTGCTGGAGAGACCAAGAAGAGAAAAGCAGTGCTAGTTCCCAACAGTTGCCATTTCAATGAATCTCAAACAGAAATTCACAGAACGCAGGAAAAAATTTTGCCTCTGAGATGAATAACTTTGACTCCCAAAGGCCTGCCGAAAACAATAAAGACATTAAACTTCCCAAAAGATACCAGATTTCTCAAATACCTAAAATAATATTACTACAGATATCAGACAAGTGTGAATAATAATCTACACCAGAATGTTTTTATTGAAAATAAAGCTCTACTTGCTTCCTTAGAAGTTTCCTTCTTTTTTTTTTTTATTTGATAAGGTTACCCTGGCCTGCATGATCTGAACTCCAAAGTGCTCTGTAACTTGGGACAGAGGCAAACCTGTCCGTGTGCTCTCCTGCCTCTTGATATTGCTTATACAGTTAAAATCATTTCCACAGTCATCTCCTTCAAATCTGCTTTCTTAAATGCTTAAATAGTGCTAAATTATAGAATGCAAATCCTACCAAGTGACAACTCTCTGCGTGTCCTTTTGCCTCTCTGCCATAGATGAGACATTGTCTCTCATATGTGCCATAATAAACTAGAAGATGGGCCAGTTTGGATAATGGAACTACACTTTCCTGCGGTTTTTGGGTTTTTTTAATGCTGAATTTCACAGATTGTTAAGATAGGCTTTGTAGAGCAGAGTATCACTATAAACAGAAGTAAAATATCTTTTCAGTATTAGCTTCACAGCTGAAGCATTTTGCGCACAGCTATCTTCTCCATCTATCCCTTGGGCATAAAGGCAGTGAAAGAATTCCTAAAGAAGGGAAGGAAATTGTGTTGGTCAAGATCAAATTGCAAGCATGCATAATTTGATGTACTAATGACTGTCCACCAGATACCGCTGCAGGAGACTTGCCAAGACGTTAATTGTCCCAAGGACTGGAGTTTGATGCTTAACAAACATCTCCTCAGTTTCGTTGTGGAATGAAAGTTGTGACAGCTGCAAGGACTGCTGGTCTTAGCTGCATGTGCAATAGTGAGTGGGGCTGTGAGAAAACCTGATCTTAAATGAAAATCCCTGCTTGCCAACAGTAGCTATTGGTAGGGTCCCTGCAGGATGGGAAGTGTAACTCCAGAGCTTCAGTATGAAGGCTCCAAGGGTAACTTTGCAGCTTGAAATTAACTCAGACCCTAGAGGAGCATGTAACTTTGTATAGCTCTTGGCATTTTTGAAAATGTCAGGTTGTATCCTAGAGACTGTCTCACGTAGCACAGTGAAGTCCTCCTTGTGTGAAACAGCTCAAAGCTGTATTTCAAGGTCTTTGCATGGAAGTCTGCAAGTTACAAACCTTGCATCATTCAAGTTGCAAGATGTCATTTGTCACTTCTCATCTCCAGACATAAGAGCCAACAAACGGAGAGGCTGCTTTGTTCAGTGTTTTCTAAAGCAAAGAGGCCAGTCAACAGTCCATTAAAAAGACTTATGGTGAATAAAATATTCCTAAACACAGAAGATTCTTCTAATCTGACTTAGAATCATAGAACTGTCTAGGTTAGAAGGGACCTTTAAGATCATCTAGTCCAACCATCAACCTAACCCTGATAAAAGAACATCACTAAACCATGTCTCTAAGCACTATGTCAACCCGTCTTTTAAATACATCTAGGGATTGTGCCTCAACCACATCCCTGGGCAGCCCATTCCAATGCTTGATAACCCTTTCAGTGTAAAGATTTTTCCTAATATCCAGCCTGAATCTCCCCTGGTGCAACTTGAGGCCATTTCCTCTTGTCCTATTGCTTGTGACTTGGCAGAAGAGACCAACCCCTGCTTCTCTACAACCTCCTTTCAGATAAGGTCTCCCCTCAGCCTCCTTTCCTCTGACTTCTGCTAAGCAAACCTGCTATTCATCACCCCAGTGCTAAGCAATGTACATAATGAAGAGAAATATTCCTCCATATAGGACAGAAAATTTTCTCACCTTGATAGCTGAGATTTCAACCCAGATATTAAGAAAACTCTGACCACACTAATTGCTATCTGCATAGATCTGCTGCTCGTGGAGGGAGAAATGGTCTCATACCAGCCAAGTAATTGTTGTCCAGTTGGTGAATGATATGGCCTTTCTGTCTGATATTTGTTCTTTCCATCAGACTGAGAAGAATCCTTCTAAATATACGTTAAAACATCTGATTTCTGTAGTTGTTACTGTGGAAATTGTACACATGGGCTTGGCTTCTGCTTTCGGCCGAAGAAGGTTAGACTGCAGAGGGAATACTCAGAATGACCCAACAGCTACCACACAGACGCTGGATTAAGCATGTAGGTGATCAGCATTTCCCATGGGCACCAGTAAAAAGCCAAATCCCTTTCCTGCGATAATCTTCGTTTCCTACCAATGTTATTCTGAAATAAAATTTGGTAGCTAATGTTCACCCACAGCCTGTATCCGTGATTGTTTCAGTTTCCTCTCTGTATAAAACCACACAGAAAAAATGATCCCGGGTGAGATACATGAATTACTTTCTCTGCTGAAGATACTGTTATCTTTGCTGTGATATTCCTACACAGAGCTCTTGGAAAGAAATGTAAGATCAAATAACAATAAATAATGTTGAGAAAAAATAAAGGTATCAAACCAGATGAATTACTGAGCTGCAGTGGTCGAATTTTCATCAGGAATACATCCGGAATACATCCAGAATACATCCTAAAAATAGGGTGCACTCAAAGGTCTCTGCATTTCTATCAATGATGAGAAGTTACAGTCATGTCATGGCCACTTCATAATCGCTACTGGTTCCTGAAATCCATGTGCATCTCCGAAGGATGCTGTCCAGCAATCTCAGTTGATCAAACTGTTAAGTGTTCTCCTCCAAAGCACGAGAACTTGGCAGCAGTCTGGAGCTCAACCTGGAGGTGGCTGGATGAGCTGTGAGCTGGGGAGAGCAGCTGCCGATCCTGTTTTTGTTTCGACTGCTGCTTGCAAGGAGGTTATTTACCCTGCTACACTTCACAGGCTGCTCCAGCTTGCCATAAGGCTTTTCCTTCTTTCTGGGGCGTTCAAAAGAGGCAGGACTGTAAACTGTCTTCTCTGACTCATGTCAGCCTGATGTATGTTGTGTAAGGGTACTCTATAGCGACCAAGGAGCTCGGGGAGGCTTTACCAGGCAGGTGACGTTGCTGCGCCTGCCCCTTCCCTTCCTGCCCCTGCCTGCAGCACCCCTGGGGGAGCAGATACCGGGGAGCAGCTTCACCCCTAGTGCCAGGGCAGCTCCTGGGGGTCCCCTGCTGCAAGAGCAGGGGAGGGAAACCCTGCTCACCTGCCCTCTGGGGGACACACAGCCAGCGGAAAGGGTGACCAGCGAGGAACCTATGCAGCGGGGAGGCCATCCCTCCAAGAGAAAAATCCTGGACACTTTTTGTTTCTAACTGCCAGGGAAATACTGACATTTATCTTTGGCACTGGTGCCAACTGACATTTTGGCTTGCTCATAGAATCATAGAATCGTCTAGGTTGGAAGAGACCCTTGGGAGCATCGAGTCCAACCATCTATCCTACTCTACAAAGTCCTCCCCTACACCCTGTCCCTTAGCACTGCATCTAAATGGCCCTTAAACACAGCCAGGGATGGGGACTCCACCACCTCCCTGGGCAGCCTGTTCCAATGCCCTATCACTCTTTCGGTGAAAAATTCTTTCCTAATGTTCAGTCTAAACCTACCCTGTTGGAGCTACCCTGTTGGAGTTGTCATGCTGAGAAACTTTCTGGCTTGGTGAGAGAAGAAAAAGAAAGCAGGTAGGGCACGAGGCTCCTTACTGCCTTTTATTTTGCCCACCTCTGGGCTGCTGCCTTTCTCCTGACTCTGCAGCAATTCACGTGGGAGGGGGCAGAAGCGACTGCGGCAGCGAAGCGCGGCGATGCACCACAGAAACTGGAAACAATAACCTGCACATTGGGGCATGGTGACCAGCAACTCTGCCGGGAGCTGGGGATAACAGCCGGGGCACGGTAACCCACGCCAACCACTGGGGAAACTATTTGATGTGCTCCCAGGTTTGCTGGCCTCTCCTCCTCTCACACCTTGCCGGGGAAAGGTGTGGAGCTGCTGCTTGCTGTCAGCCCCGCTGTGCACCTCCAAAGAGTTTCTCCATTCACTGAGGACTTGCCTCTGGGAGGTGAAGAATTTTGGTTTGCATAAATCGTTCGTATTTTATTATTATAACTCACCCAATCAAAAACTGCATTCAATATTTATTTTGTTAGTATAAGGTGTTATGTAGTTTATGTAAATATATTTGATTCTCTAACTCCGAGCTGGACTGCTGGCTTTGCTTTCCTAGGGAGGAAGAATCCTTATTTTGGGAAAGTATCTATCCACCCTCAGAGCAACCGCCAAAGGCTCGAGACCCAAACGCTGTCTGCCTGTGCTGTACAAAGTGGGGAAAAGGCCATTGGTGATTATTCCCTTGGGCTGAACTGAGGATGAGCAACAAAATCTGTGGAACACAGCCTGTAAAGGGGTGAATTCGTCCGCTCTCCCATCCCAGTCTCCTCTTTGCTCTCTGTTCCAGATGTTGCCTTGGGTCAGTTTCTATGCGGAAAAGCTTTTTCTGAAGGGAGCTTAGCCTCGGACATTGAGGTAGCTGAGAAAAACTGTTGAGCAGGAACATTCACCCCTTTAGTTTGAGCAAAATAGTGTTTACCCCTTTCTCATGCATTTGCCTCTCCCATTTCCCTGCTTCTCACTGGAGGCAAAGGCTGCCTGAGGCATGGGAATACCAGCAGATCCTGCAGCTGCCACGGCTGTCAGACCGGGAAGGGCACACCGAGCCCCACAGAGCAGCCACTGCACTCCCAAGATCCTTGGAAATCTGCTGTCTTTTCTACATGGTCCTGTTACCATGCCCAAAGTACCCCTACACAAAGCCCCTTAGGCACAGGGAGATGCCACTGGGTGGTCTGACCTTCTTCGTACACACATCCCACCCTGACTAGGGCACTCTCCCATTTGCTTCCAGTTGCTGTTGCACAGCATGCTTATGGACAGCTGGAGATGATCCCCTCCTTACCACCACCATGTCACTGCTCTGAGAAATGAGCTGAGGACCCCCACGGATACCTGCAGAGGGAGGTCGCTAAATGTCATTTCTGGTTCCAGGTCCCACCACAAGTTTCCTTCATTCATGAGAAAGCAGAGAAGAAAGAGGCTCAGCAACTAGACCTGGCACTTAGACTTGTCTTTTCCTGGGGGTCTGCTCCCCTCCTGCGTGCCCACAGCTCTGTTTCGTTCTTACCCGTCTTCTTTGCAGGGGACACGGGGAGGCTTTGGTCAACTAGTCCTGCTTACACTAGGTGAAGTGGTTTGGGCTCTGGTTCATCAGCACTGGTTTCTGCATATCTGCAAGGTTCTTTACTCATCACAGATACCACCACCCATGCCGAAACCCCAACCCCAGGCCCTCACAGTGGACCATGAGGGAAACTCCAGCTTGCCACCAGCCAGTCCAGATTCCTCAGTGAGACACCTGATGCCAGCAAGAGCAGGAGAGCTCAGGAAGGGGAGCCCAGCTAAGCAGCCCTGGGCACAGCACACATGTGTGAAGGTAACTCTGACCCACATGCACAAGGGATCCCAACTCCCCATGCTTGTGTTTTTGAGTCCACGCAGGTTTAAATCTGAGATAAAAGGTTTGCTGGAGCTGACTATGCCAGCCTCACAGCGTATGCAGTGGATCCAACCCCCCTAGCATCAGAGCTGTCGGGGACTGCCTTTCTGACTGGGAGCCAGATGCTTTTGTCCATGGCTTTGTGCCTTAACAGGGCATTGGAGCCAATGTGCTCCAGGGTTTCTACTGCAAGAAGCTGTTTGTGGTGGATCCACTTTTTCCCTGAGTTAGTTACAACTCTGTTTCCTCGAATGCAGCAGAAACCAAACAGCAGAAAGCAATTCCTTTGCTTGTCCCCAGCAGCTCCTGCCACCCAGAGCTCATCTGAAGAGGCTCTTCGTTTCAGTTTTCCTCAGAGAAACATTGCCCAGTTTCCTCCCAGACCACAGGATCGAGTATTCCCATGTTGCTTCATTTCTCAAGATTCTCCCATCTTTTCCACTTTTCCTTCATATATTTCAACATGCACTGAACACTGGCCATAGTAGCTTCTTCTCTCACATGTCTTGGATGTCTGCTGTGCTACTGCTCTGCTACAGGCATTGACTTGCTCCTGTGTTTGGGATGGGGATTGCTGGTTTGTGCACTCTAGCTACATGGAGATCCCTTTTCATGAAACTATCTTAAATGAGGGACAGCGGTTAGTCAAATATATAAGTGTTTAAAGTATAAGATACCCAAGTTCTTTGAAGAAGTCCAGTCCTAACTGTCCCAGACTGCTCACCCAAAGTTAAAAGGAACTTTTTACTTTGATTCCCCTGTTCCATTTCACGTGTAGGGATGACAATCCTTCACTTCACTAGTATAGTAGAGAGATAAAGAAATATATGCCCATGTGAAACTCTCAGATATTATAATAGCGAGGAGCAGAGAAAAGCCTCGGGAGAAGCTAATACTTTGTCCTTTGAAAATGGGGCTTAGGTCAGGGGAAAATCTGATGCAGAAAAACTCAGTCCTACCACAACTTTTTCTTTCTTTTCCTGCCAAACCTTCAGCCCACCTCCTGATATTGTGGGACACGGGGGAACAACTAGGGCAGGAGCAGTTGCATCGCCTCCACCCGACTGCAGCAGCAGAGATCCCCCAGTCACCAGGGAGAATCCACTGTGGGAATCTCCAGTCGGTTTAAGTTCACGCTTTGCTTATGCATGCATAAGCAGAGCAAACTTGGCAGGCTGGAGAGTCTGTCCCTCAGGAATATTGACAGATGAATGTAAACTCAATTACCTTGCTTTTTCATTCCAGGCGGGTTGCTTGCGCTGTGTACTAAGTGCATCAGCATCTGGAGTCACTTTGAACAACAGGAGAAAGCATTTTCCGGTGTCAGAATCACAATTTTGTACAGTATTTATAACTTGCAAAAAGTCAGGGGTTTGGCCGCGCTTTGTTTCCCACCATCCTGAAACAAACAAACAAACAAACAAACCAAAACCTATGTAGAAGGTTCATCATCTCCAAGGATTAGGGTTTTTTTTGGGGGTATAGCTAAATGGCTGGTAGCCATTTTGCCTAAGAGCCTGTGAAACCGAAAGATGTAAAACCAGCTCCTGAATTTTCTTTGCCACCATCTTCACTATCCATTAACCCAGCTCATTACTGAAAGCTGAAAACACAAAAGAAGTAAACATTAGTTAATGAGGTTTGCACCTGGGGGTGGTAAACAAAGCCGCTCTCCGTGCCTGTGAGCTCTTGAAGGGAAACTCGCTGCTGTAGGAAAGCAAATCTCAGCACAGAAAGGACAGCTCTGCCTGGGGCAGGGTCGTGTGTTCAGAGAATGGGAAGAATATTTTCATTTTTCTGATTTCATAATTAGCTAGAGGACAATGAGGAACAAAATCTTTCCTATATTTGCCCCCCCAATTAGAAAATACAATTTGTCTTGTTTCCATTGTAGCTAGAAGCAGAAATTGATGCTGATCTGATTCCTTACTCCTCTGTAGTTTGGGACATTTCAAATCCATATTTTTCATCCTGGGGTTTTGTCTCAAACGGAGAGAATTGAGACTTTGTCTTGGACTTAAAGAATCAAGACTTTGTCTGAAATGCAATAATATGGCGCACGCTAAACAGAACCAGTCTTTGTGTACCATTGTTATCAAAACATTATAGCACCAGGAAACAGCTAGACACGGACTTTCCTTCGCTAGTTAACTGCTACTATAGGACTGTTAAAAGTTCAACTCATTTTACTTTTAAATCCTATTGCCATAGCTGAATGCTTTGGCAAAGAAAGAAACAGGCTGTAAGAGGGTTCTTTACAAACTAGCAAATGCACACATTAAATGTGCATGTTTTCACCTTACCGTTTCCTTCTTTCAATCCACACACTTCTCTGAATGTGACTTTCACTCCTGCTCCCAGGCGTGACCTCCCTCCTCCCTCCCGGGGGAGCAGCACCAGGAGCAGGGTGGGAGCCCCCCCGGGCTGGGCACCAGGGGCAGGCTCACCCCTTGGGGCATCGGTGGCCAGAGCCAGGCTCCATCCCAGTTTGGAAGATGCTGCTGGGAGTCGCTCAGTGGAAGAAACAGGCTGCGTGGTTTCATTTCCATGGCAGAGGCTGCTCTCTTTCTCGGTGCTTTCTCCTGCGCAGGGCTATGGTCTGAAAGAAAAAACAAACTCTGTAAAAGCAGAGCTCCCTAAGCATACATTCAGGGATGGATTTTCTTCTTCTCTTCTTCTGGTGCTCAAATCAGGGTGAGGATTAACTCCACCGAAGACAATGGAGCCAAACCAACACAAGTCAAAGGAGAATCAGACTGTAGCTCTAAGAAACGTCTATTCCCACTACTTCCCAGACTTTTATTGCTGCAAATATATAAATCTTTGTATTAACCAACTTCAAAGATCATAAAGCCCTAATTGTGTATGCAGCCTACTAGTAACTCAGTGTGCTGCTGATGCATAAAACACGCATAGATAGTACACAAATACACTCTGCCTGGGCTTAAATTTAGCTTCAACCACACAAAAGATATCTTTATAACTAAGAATGATGGGAAGAAAGACCTCATTCCAGACCAGATGAACAACTCATTTTTTCACTGATCCTGGATTTGGCTGACCTGACTTAAATGTGACCTAAGACATTTCTTAGTGCTTTGGAAATTGCATCAACATACTTGGGTTGGAGATGCCACAGTCAGAACAAAAAAACGGGGATTCTATTTTTAAAATTCTGCTGTTCCTTTTTAAAATAGATCAGTGAAGCATAACTTTTCCTATAGCTGTAATTTTTCAGGCTAAGCAAACTCCAGTAATTTCAAAGGCAGTGGGAACAAGGGGTCACTTGGGGCCAGCCAGAAAAAAAATTAACTCTTTGCTCTTTTCCAGTAAAAGCTGTCGTCATGTTATTATTGTTGAAAAGAGTCAGCTTATAAATGAATAGGTAAGATTTTTCTTGCAAGGAAGAACAAAATTAAAATATGTAGCAGTTGTGGTCTCAGAGGCGTGCAAGAACATCAGTGAGGGAAGAGAAACACCATCAGAAATTTGGCTATGTGTTTACTCAGTACCTATCACTAGTGAAGGACTAGGTTTTGCTCCATGACGACTGTCACTAGATAGCTGGTGTCAACAGGAGACTGCCAGGAGCTACAAACACCTTTCAGCAACAGGAGGCTACAAGCCATGCAGTGTACGAGCTCTTCCTGACATTACCATCGGTGCTGAGAACTTCAAAGCCTTTCCCTAATAACATAGAGCTGAAATTCTTCTGATTCAGGGGGAAAAAAGCCACGTTCCAGCAGCATGACCCTCTTGAATACTTAACATGAGTAGAACAGATCTTTGTTTTATGTCTGTTTTGTAACAGACAGATAAACATCGTATAATAAATATTTTATGAGTTAGTGTGTTGGGTGATTTTTAGATCATACATTTTATACCAATGTCCATATAACCCCGAAACACTGCAAAACCCAAGCATAGGTAAGTAGGCTGTCCTTGCCATACGGATGTGTTTAGCTGAAGAATGGAGTCTTGGCCTGAATTCATACCTTTGAGCATTGGCCATCCCAAGGTAAAGTTCCTTGGAGTAGAACTCCATTCTTGCTTGACCTGTCAGCTGTAGCTGATTTCAACTGGGTCTCAATTCACATCTATGTAAAAGTTATTGGCTGTCCTCCTGGCAAGTCACAGGGTAGGTTCATTTTTTCAATACTTTTTGAGTATGGGAATGGCATTAAAAAAACCCCAAACAAATCCCAAGTGGCTTCCAACGGGGTGAAGTAATGATAGTTTGGAACTGGAAAGGCTTGCCCTCTGTAGCTTGAGAGCCAAACTGGGGAAGGTGGGATAGACATTCGGGCTTTGAAAACACCAGCTATCTTCTGTTTGTTTGTATCTACATTTAGGTTGGGGTAAACAGCTCTCAGCAGAAGAAAATGCAATTTGTTTAAATATTTCAGCCAAAGGACAGCAATTATAACAATAAGGCACTCCTTTCCCCACCTTCAAAGCATTTGCTGGTATCAACAGTGGACCTGAGACCAAGTCCTGAGGCTTAAATGTCTTCCATCTAAGCCAACTTGACAATTCAGAGATCTGCTATTTGGATTAGACGCTGTGAAATGTTACAAACATTTTCTAGTTATGGCATTTTTGTTCTGTTGATTACAGAATAGAAGTTACTTTGGTGCACTGCAATGACGTTGCAAAGTCCTTCTGGAGAAATGAGTTTCCTCATGCTGTAGTTTCAGAGTGTGATCTTTAGTCTCAGGCCATCTGAATGGTTCCCTCTGAAACGTCCACAGCTCCTTAGCTGTCAGGAAATGTGGTGGTTTACTAGATCACATGAATGATTAATGATATTTTAACTTACATAGCGCTGGGCATGCATTGTTTCTAAGAAAAAAACCCAAATGTACGGATTTGAAGTTAAAAACCTTGGTGATCTGGAAGCATATACCAGGAAGGAATACCCTGTAGCTACAACTTAAGAGTAGCTCCTCATGTTGGCGTTAACAAAACAAGAGGGAGCCTTCTCCGGTGTTCCGGAGATTTCCATGAATTGATCAAAACATGCAGAACCCTTTGAGCAAAAATCTCTTTTCTTCCTAAACAAGTGCCTGCAGTATATAAACTATTATAAAGCATAATTTGTAAAGGTTCATTCAAACAAAAATGTATTACATGGTATAAAAGCGCTAAAGATAACTTTTATAAAAGAACAGTGTGTTTGATTAATGCAGTGCTGTTTGATTAATGCAGTAATGTATTTTGATCCTCACTAGGGTCCAACGCACATAGAGAACAATTTTTCACCTTTCCATCGCAGGATAGATAAAATAGTTTACAGCAGTGACAGTCAGTGCAGAGAACTAAGAGATAAGACAGTTAATAGCATTTAATTCTGCTTTTGCCTCTTTGGCAGAGCTGCAGCAAGTAATTCCGCTGCGTTTGATTCAGTTTTTCTGCCAGTGATATTTGAGCACGGTTGTAAAATGCTGTAAAATCTGTGGTTGAAAAGTGCAACATAAAGGTTAATTGTTTGTTTTGTGTCTGTTACTGGAAAAGCTCTCCTGCTAAAGGAAAAAAAAAAAGCAGTGCCTTCATCCTTTTTTCTTCCTTTAATTTTTCAAGTATTTCAAAATTTTCATTTTTGGATCTTGTTTCTAAAAAGACATCTTAAATATTCCACCATAATTACATTTGTGAATGACCCTAATTGGTGCCATCGAGTAGCTCAATGCAGACTGATGGTCATGTCCAAAGACTGCAGCCAGACCCTACGTGAAAATCTAGTCACCTCAGGCAACAGCTATTTTCAGTGGTATAAGCTAAATAGCGCCAGACCACCAGTCAGATGAGAAATATGTGAAGAAAAAAACTGCAGATATTTTAAGGAGCTGAAGTTTGAGGACACAGTGAATTTGGCTTTAGGACTTCTAGTATCAGATCAGAAGTTTGCAGTCACATCCTGTAAAACATTTTGACAAAAAAATCATGATTTTAGCTGAATTCTGTTTGAAACAATGTTAACTTTGTGCAGGTGGATCTTGGGCTTGTTCTGATACTGTCAGAAGTTGTTTCATCAGCCAGTTCTTCACTTCTTGTAATTTTTTCATCTCCAGGTTCTGATGCCGGTCACCAGGGTCCTCTAAGTGCAGACTCAAGTCAGAGCCTTTTTAATCTCTGTATTGCAGCCGTTCCCAGCTGCCTACCTCACTTTGCCTCAGATATCTTGCACTCTCTGCTTTCGACCTCTTATTTTGCATCTACCCTTTGCCTCCATCCTCATATGCTGAAGATGGTGAAGGAACGTGAAACGACCACAGAGCCAGAGCCAGGTTCCTATCAGTAAAGAGGCACACTACGAGTCATGTGCACCCGTCGTATTTCCCTGGCCCTGTCTGTCAAAATCCCACCTAGACCCAGCTGAGGAGATGAAGACATGTTGGTAGCGCACACCACGATGGAGTTTACGATGCCATTTCCATGCAGATATCACAGGGTGGACACCAAAGAGACTGGAGTGATGAGGGGTAAAGCTTTGAAGTGTGACTAGAAGTGTGGTGACAGGAATGGATGGCCTGATGCAGTAGTGTGCTCCTTTGGCTTATCCAAAGTGGGTACACTGGCAACTTGAGGGCTAATTTTCCTTTCATAGAATCATAGAATCATAGACTGGTTTGGGTTGGAAGGGACCTCAAAGATCATCGAGTTCCAACCCCCCTGCCATGGGCAGGGACACCTCCCACCAGACCAGGTTGCTCAAGACCCCATCCAGCCTGGCCTTGAACACTTCCAGGGATGGGGCATCCACAACTTTCAACTTTGGAACTTCCAACTTTGTTAAATGATCTCTCATGAAAAAAAAAGCGGGGGAATTCAGGGGTGGTGAGCAGGCTGTCCTAGGAGATGCAGCCCCAGGGGAGAAAGGCAGATAGGCAGTGCCTTCTCTGTCCTTGGGTGTTGCTTACAGGAGGACTTCAAGATTAAAAAATAAAAAAAGAAATCTGTGACTCGCCCAAGTAAGGAAGCCTGTTTAAGAGCTCTTTTCTACTTGCATTTTTTTTTGTTTGTTTGTTTGTTTTATTTCTTTTGTGGGGTGCTCTGGTTTTCTGGGCACGTTTCCAGGGGTTGTGTGCTCTGCCAAGCGGTAGCCTTGCGTTCTTGGGCAGGCAACATCCTGGTTCCACCCTATCCTGAACGGGGTGTGCTCACACACCCGCACGTACCGTCAAGCAGACTTGGTTTCAGACAGACGTTTGCTAAAGAGAAGTTAGGCCAAACCTGCATTTCTCCCATGAGCTGACCTTAAGTGTATGGGGCAGTTGTAAAAACGCGCTGTAGCTTGACACAGGAGTGCTGTACCCTTTGGAGAGATCCCAGGAGAAGAGATGCTCCTCCAGATGTTCTCAGTATCTCCTCAGACAGCCTGTGCTGCTGCTATATTGTGGCTTACCTCGACTTGAATGACAAGGGACTTCAACCGATTAGAAATGATGTGGATGGCTGCCACGTTCTCCAGCAGAGCAGAGGTTTCACCGATGGACCGTCGCTCACAGATATTTACTATCACCAGGGCTGTCCCGCACAGGGATGGCAAAAAACTAGCGATGCAAGGATCTAAAAAGAAAGGAAAAAGGATTACTTAGCTATTTAGTAGATAAATTAACTGCTTAAAATTTGAGGCAGGGGCCACTAGGCGGCACTGCGGCAGCGCTCCCCAGAGCTGGTGTGATCGCAGCAGCCCCGTCACTCTTTTTGGGGGGGTTTTGGGTTTGTTTTGTTACCTTACAAAGCGTTGATGCTTGTGGGGAGCTGTAGAAATCTATTTAAAACAAAACAAAACACCACATGATGTATTATAAAATAATAATAATGTCTCACTTCCACAATCAGGTCATTCACTTCCACACACAAGCAGCGCCAAGGACGTCATCCTCCCACGAAACCTTCCCTCTGCGCCTTTGGCGCAGAGGGAAGGTTTCGTGGGAGGATGACGTCCTTGGCGCTGCAAATCCCTGATGACCCTGTCCCTTTCCCCCAGGACCCCAAGCAGCAGGGGTAACACCAGGGGATTCCACCCCCCCAGCTCCCCAGGGCCTCTCCTTGGAGCGTTGTAGGAACATTTTAATACATCTCCCGCGCTAAGGGTTGTGCTGATCGGATACAAATCCCTCTCTCGGGGGGTAAATAAAGATTTCTGCAGAAAGAAAGAGAATGATGAGTAACACACAAGAGAAGGGGCAGCCAGGAGAAGGTCGCTGTCATGAAGAGCCACAGAAGTGCGAGGATGCTGCAGAGATGAAGCACGGCAGAAGAAATATGGTTAATAACCATTTCAGAACAACACAGATCTAAAACGATAGGAACCAAGTGATTTTAGAGTCATAGAATAGTTTGGGTTGGAAGGGACCTTTAAAGGTTATCTAGTCCAACCCCCTGCCCTGGGCAGGTACACCTACCACCAGACCAGGTTGCCCAAAGCCCCATCCAACCTGGCCTTGAACCCAGCGATGGGGAAGCCACAGCTTCTCTGGGCAACCTGGGTCAGGGTCTCACCACCCTCACAGCAAAGAATTTCTTCCCCAGATCTCATTTCAACCTCCCCTCTTTCAGTGTAAAATCCTTCCCCCTTGTCCCATCGCTCCCCTCCCTGATCAATAGTCCCTCCCCAGCTTTCCTGGAGCCCCTTTAGGAACTAGAAGGGGCTCTAAGGTCTTCCCGGAGCCTTCTCTTCTCCAGGCTGAATCCCCCCAACTCTCTCAGCCTTTCCTCACAGCAGAGGGGCTCCAGCCCTCCCAGCAGATTTTAATAATCCATTGGTTGCTATATAAGAATGGTAGAAATGCCATCAGTGATGTAGGCAGGTAAGAGGTGTCAACCAAGGTAATTGCTTGCGCTAGGAAACACTTCAAGGGGTTAAGACTCCCATTTTTGACTCAAAGTTGTCCGGGATTTTTGCTTATGCACAGTATAAACCATAGGATGAGCAAAGGTTGGCAGCAGACTTACTTTAGGAATTTCAATAAATACCCCAATTTTGTATTTGAGGAAAAAAATAGCAAGTGGTGTCACTGCTGTGGAGGAAACAGTAGGTGCCTCAAAAGGCTCTAAACAACAGCTGTGACACCAGACATCTTAAAATCAGAAAATGTGTATGGTTAGCACCCCAGAACTTTCAAAGAGCTGACAGATAAACTCTCTGAGTCACTAAAACTCAGCTTTCAGAAAACTAGAAGTCCAGGGGTCTTCCGGGAGTAGGAAAGAAGTTCATGCTAGAACAGTATTTTGAAAAGTAGAAGAACCTGGGCAATTCAGGCTGTGAACTTCCGTCCGGCCCGCAGCCTGACATTGCCTGGGTTCTTCTGGCTATGGGCCTGGTGGAATTCCATAGCCTGAAATGCCTGCTGCCCCAAATGACTGTGTTAATAAATACCAAAATAAAAGGAAGTAGGCTATTTATGCTAGCTGATGTGGATTTACAGAAAGTAGATTTTGCTGAGATAATCTGGTATATTTTTCAGAAGAGTAAGAGCTTAATTTGTAAAGACAGTTCTGAAGACAGCTATAAAACATGAGGCTGTAGTTTTGCACAGTTCTTTGATCATGAAGTTATTGCAAATTAATATGCCAGATGGTTCAAAATCCACTGGTTAACTCAATTTTTAGTCTCAATGCTAAGCAATGAATCATTTGTTCAGTAGGGGTGTCACTGTTGGAGCTGCACCTGGATTGTCTCCTAGCCATTTTCCATTTTGATTTGTGATACACAAGGAAACATAAACTCATTGTACTGCAACAGATGTGAAGAGCAGAGGAGCAGAAACAAAAATAGGTCCCTGATGTAGTCAGCTGGTAAACAGAAAGCAAGCTTGTAATATATTACTTTATCACTGCTAAACATGAAGCTATATATTTAAGAACAGAGAATGAAGGCTACAGTAATAAGATGGGAAACAATACTTTGAAGCAGTGGCTCTGGAAAAGACTCAGAAAAGAGGAGCACAGTAGCTGAACAGAAAGGGGTAACAGAATCTTCAGATGTACAGGCAGGGGCCTGGAGTCGGGCTAATGAAGTTACACTATTTTGGGATTTGGCACTAATCTTGCCACTAAGCTGAAATGCTTGATCCTATGCTTGGGTCAGGCAGGATGCTGCCATATCAGGGGGGAGAGAGGTTGGTGTCATTTTGGTGTGTTAGACCCAGAGCCAATGAGAAGGAGTTCCTAATGCTCCAGGGACTTCACTTACAGACAAGAAAACGGTGTAACATAGTGACCAGAATGATAGAATTTGTGAAAGCAGATCTTTTTATATCTGAAAGATTGATTTCTGATAGTTACCAGGGATTACTTCCCTGGAACTGAAACCATTCAATATAACTGAAGCTTTCTCATAGATGGAAGTATCTTTGAGGTCAAGATTTGCATGCTTCTCCCTTGTGACTAAGGACAAAATTATGTCCCCTAGCATAGTTATCTTAAACGTGGAAAACCTAAATTTCTGAGAATAAACTTGAGACTATTTCTTTTGCTGGACTTTTGAAAATACCAGAATAAATGACTTGGTGGAGCTTCCCCCATTCAGGAGACAGAATTTATTTCGTCCTTCTGGCACTTCTTGGAAAGGAGGTGCAGAAAGAAAGGGTTTAGCAGGTACATGAGTTCTGCAACCAGCTTTCAGTGCTGGTTATATTACCTTCCATTAATTCGGAGCTCTTGCTTAGTTTGCTACAGGGGCTCAATTCAAGCAACTTGGAAACAAAATCTGGCAAGAACAAGAATTCATGCTTTTTCCAAAGGCTTCTTCAACCTCAAGCACCCCTCCCTCCACCCTCATATTTTGCTGTTGGTCTGCTTTCCCACTGAGCAGCTAACGTCAATGCCTGCATGGGTCCCTGCATGTGGGTTTATGTGTATGCAAGCCACCTGTATCTTAACATCTCACCACTGTATTATATTTTTTGATGTTAACTACAACAGCACAGCCAATGTTACTGCAAAGTTAAAAGTACCTAAAAATGCCCATTTTTTTTTAAAGGAGCTGGTACACAGTTACTTACTGTTGATAGAAAAAAAGGGACCCCTGGAGAGCACCCGCTCCAGCCCCCTGCTCAGAATGGAGCTGAGTTACCACATGCTGCTCAGGATCTTTTCCAGTCAAGTTGAAAATATGCCCAAGGATGGAGATTCCTCAGTCCCTCTGGGCAACCAGTGCTTCAAAGGCTTTTTTTTTCCCTAATGCCATGGTGGAATTTCCCTTCTTCCCCAACAGGCAAATGTCAACTGGTGTTTACAGGAGAAGGCAGTATGCTTGATGGCGATGCAATGAAGGACAAACTTCTTTGCAGGGAGGTGGCATTCACATTCTTCAGCATGCTTTTGGTCTAACTGGTTGCTCGGCAACTCGTCCCCAGTGAAACCAGATAAGATTTGAGTAGCAACATTGTTCTCCCAGTCAGCGGGCAGTTAAACGACCAGGTAGTTGACCAAAGTGTTTGACGAAGTCAAAGTAGACTCTGTTTCAACCAGTATTTTAATGATCATTGTGTTTACCTGTCTCCATGTCATGGCCACCTTCTCATGCCAATTTTAGTAACTTCTGGTTCCCTCTCTAGCAGCTTCTCTTGAGGGATTTTATAAGCCACTCTTGATATCTCTGTGCTTTCAACTCCGCCTTGCTGACAGTGCTGGATTCCTTCCTCAAGTCTCCCACTCGCAAGTGATGTGCCTTTCCTCCTACCCTCAACTTCACTTGAAAGTGAAAAGCTCAGTCTTGTGATTTTCAAGTTTCCTTTGCATAATATTTGAGTTCCTGACAGACGGCAGATGTAGAAAGGATCCAAGCATGAAGAGTATAGATGTCTTGCCACACTAAAAGTTCCTACCACAGCTGGAGCCACCATCTGTAAGACATCACACAGCACACACAGTACTTTAGGAAAAGTGTTACTCTCCTGTGGTCCCTTGAAGAGGTGCCTGCTGAGCCAGGCAGCGGTATGCCTCACTTGAATTTTGGGGTGCCAGAACCCAAGAGGAATCTTCTGACTTTCAACTACAAAATGTTACATAAAACTGAATTTACCTATAAGGAAAATCCTTCATCAAGTGCTAAGGAGAAATAAAACAACCCCCGCCAAAAAGCCAGCAGAGGAGGGCAGAGATACCATAGACGTGATCTGAAAACACTACTACTCTGGAAGCAGAAGTCCTGTTTATGTAGCCTAATATTTTATTTCAAGTTCATAGATTGCTAAGTGTCACGAGTGAACGTATTAAGAGACCTATCTGGCTTTTTATTACTTCAGATGAACAAAAAACTTGTGCAAACAAACAAGAAAACCCAGAGGGATTTTTTTTTTTTCATAGCCTGGACCTACCCATTCTCTGGAGCTGCTGGACATGGACCATTCTATACAATAAACACATAATAATGGAAATGGATCAAGATTAACTAGTTTTGTGTTAAAAATAACCGACAGAGTTAATGAGTCCAGTTTTTGTAGCCCTCGGGACTTTCTTCCCCTTTTTGGCTGACTGGACAGCAGCTGGGTTTGGAACCATTTCTAACCAGCAGTGCAAGCAGGCAGGTTTCCTTCCCTCCTGACAGCAATCACAATCCTGGCCGTTTAACTGGCCAGGAGGTTTGTAGGCATACGGACACTGCAGCATTTCACCTGCTGGGTGGGGTCTTTTTTTCCCTTTGAGAAACAAGAGAAACAGCTGAGAGACAAGGAGCTAACATACTCTGTGTCTGCACACCTGCAGAGTGCAGGTTAAGACAGCTCAACGCCAAGACCCCAGAAGCCATCCAAGAGAGGCGTGGAGGCTCTTAAGACATGTTTCTGAGGCTCTGCGGCAAACCTTTGCTGTGGAAAAGCCAGCTTTCAGGTCACACCCCACAGCACACACCTACCTTTCTTTCTGTGCTTCGAGAGAACTGAGCCAAGTCATCTCTGCGTTCACATACATCTGTAAATTCTTCTGGAGAAGATGGGGAATTTATAAATATGGGAGTAGACAGCTCTGTAGGCTCAGAGATTTGCCCCTGCAAGACCAACAGAGAGATCTGCTGTTGTCAGGACTCGAGCCCCAGCAAATGCTGGACTAATTTCACTTAGCAGCTAAGCTTTTCATCAGGATGAAGTATGGTCTACCATGATGTGTGTACCTGGTAGGAAAACAGGGAGGGGAGTGACTGTTAGTTCTGGCAGCTACACAAGCCTGGGGAATTTACCGTAAGCTGCTTTAAGTGGGAATTTTGTCTGTGTAAAGGGAACAGCGACAAAAGGAAGAATGTTTAGGGCTTGTGCAGTCTTATCCACCTCACCTCAAAAATATTTTCCACCTGTGAAAACCCCAATAGCTCAAACGCGTCTATGACTTTCTGGCAAAAGAAAGTAACAAGCTAAGATGAAAGTTTGATACCCTACATAGATAAACCTCCATAGATTCTAGGTAGTGAAAAATGTAAAGCAATTTTTAAAACACTAAAAAGGCCTTGCACTACAAACATTACACTAAGGCCATGGATACTGTGGGCCATGGGACTTGTGAAATATCTGTTTTTCACCTTTAAAATGCCAAATTCCATGGCTTGACTCCAGTACGGATTCATATTTCATTCAATTTCTCTGCTATTGGTAACATTCTTGTTAGTTCAGGAGCAGCACTTCTTATGAAGAGCAAATAACTATTTAATAAAAGGCAGCGAAAATAAAGTAGCAAGTGAACTCACTGCCATTCCTCAGCGGTGTTCAGAATAAATATTCCAACATTGGCCAGCACTAATGAGATTCACTGCTCTTAGTGATAACAGCTACAGGAAACATTGCGAATTTGGAATTTAAAAAACCTTCACCATTGAGCTTCACTCATCAAACCATGTCAGTGCCATGAAAAAACCCACCTTTGCAAACTCTGAATTTAACTGCTTATATGAAACTGCCACTTGTCCTTTTCCTGTGTATGAGTAACAAGCCAGGGGACCTACAATGCCTGCCAGTGGTTCTGTTGCACATGTCAAATAGGGAACGGTGGAGGTAATTTTTTAAATATCCCTGTGGTAAGTGATGAGGTGATTACAAGGAGAGAGACTGCATTCACCCAGAACTGGTGGAGTATAGGTGTGCAGTCTAATCTAGGTCTCTAAGCTCCTTCAAAAGTCAACTTGGAGAAGAAGGGGAGAGGGGTTCTTTTTGAAGGTGTTCACTTAAGAATGGGATGAAACTGCCTGCTGGAGCTGCCAAGTTATTTTCACTGTCTATAAATAAATAAAGTTAGATTAGAGCTCAAATTTTAGACAGCTTATAGTTAGGCAAGACTACCTCCTCTGTAAGTAAGCCCTATTTAAAAGGATTATTTCACTCTAGGCTATAAAATAATTTGATTAGATTATGTGTTTGGCAACGGAGACATGTCATTTAGGGGTAATGGATCTAAGTTTCAGTGGTGTCTCTGAGGAGGCAACCCAGGGGATGGTGAAAGAGCCGAAGTATTTTATAGAACAGTCAGTACTATGCATACTTTTCCATTTTGTTGAAGTTATATTTCATATGGTCTTGCACTTCGAAAACATTTACACAGAAGGTAGTATTCCTTTTTTATTGCACACAGTTTTCACAGTTTCGAAGTAGCCATGGCAAAATTCTCTTTTTTATTGTATCTCTTGATGAATAAAAGACTAACCTATATCTAGATATCCCCAGAAGGATATCCCTCAGATCTACAGACTTCATGAGTGTCCTACCCATGATTTAAAGACACACAGAAAATCTTTATAATCTAGTTAAAGTGAACAAATCCAACTACAATCAGAAAACTCTTCTTGAATGCTTTTAAGTAATCAGTTACCATGCTTTTAATTTTCTTGTTTAAAGTGATGGAGTATTGATATAATTTTGTTGTATAAGAAAAAATCAGAATGTGTCTTCCCATTAAAAGAGGTCAAAATGCACTGTGCTAATTTCATGGTGTATAAACCAGGCTCAATCGTAAAACCCTAATTCACACTCTGTGATTCATTTCAATCACCCACAGTCTAAAGTAGTACACAGATTAGTTACTAAAAAGGATTCCACTGAAAGACTAATGAATTTTGAAAATGAATTCTGAAATAAAAATTTATACAAGGAAAAAAGCCCATAAAAACTATGTAGAGGCTTAGCTTTGACAAATGCTAGCTTACAGGGGTTTCCTTAGCAGAACTTTTTCCCAGTAGCTCTGACAGTACTAAAAAGGCGCAGTCCTTTTGCACTGCCTTACCTAAACCAAAACAGAATTTCATAAATTATTTAGAAAATTGTAAAGAGAAACACTGTTACAGACTTTCTCATGCAGTGCAGTTATACCAGCACAGTTATACAAGTTATACAGGTGCCAAAAGTCCTTGCTGTTCAAAGAATACCTTTGATTTAGGTGGGGCAATGCATTTTCTCTTCTGCTGGCATAGAATCTGCTGTCAAGGGCATGCTCCTTAGCAAAGGAAATGGCATCCTACTGAGTCTTGCATGACAGCTGGGCTACAGTTGCCAACCTGTAAACAAAAGCTGACATTGCAATACCAAGTATTTTATAGGAAGTTCTAAAAAACCACTGAGAATCTGGCTATAGTTTCTACAGTAAGGGCGACTGAGATTCTAGCAATTAGCTCCACGACTTTTATACAGCCATCTGCTTGTTTTTGTGAAATTATCTCGTAACAGTGGTCATTATAAAAAATCTAATCAAAATCAAGAAGGAATAGAAAGCATATGTGTGCCACTGACTATGTGCTACTGTTCAACTTCCTGGAAAGCCTGCTGATTAGTTGCTTAATTTCAATTGAGTGAGTAATAGAAAGATAAAGCAAGTATGTTCTTATTAGTTGTAAGATACATTCATCTTACTGTGCACTATCAATTTTTTTTGGTAGGAGATGTTTCAAATATTAATGCTAAAAATACTGATGCCAAAATATGTATTTTAAGAACATTTCAGTAAAAGAGATTAGAAAGCTTAGATTTGATGACATTGGAATTACAGCAGTGTCTAAGCATCAGATCTGAATTCAGCTCTTAGCTCTGCCCTATGCAGAGTGTCTGCATTAAAAACATTTAATTTTACATACTTCAGCTCCCAGTCTCCATCACTGTTTCCTGTTTCATCCTATCGACCTGTTTAATCCATTTAGAATAAATAGTTTTTAGGGAATAGCTCTTAAATATTTGGGTAGTACTCATTTCATAGATGCTTCAATGTTAAATAGACCAATCACAACTAGGGACAGAATAATTCACATCACAATAATAAAGGGATGAATCATAGAAGACTATTGGTGATCCATGCAGAAAGATGGAAGTTATTTAGAAGGTTCATACCGGAATTACCCATCAGGATGGTGGGATTTGCTTTAGCCTCAACACAGGAAGTTAAAGCACTGTTCACAATCAGCTTTTAATAATGGCAAGACCAGGTCTGTGGAATTCAGACACTTCATTCAGGGAAAGTTTAAAATCAAAGGTTTTGTTGGTTGGATCAAATAAAACATTCATACTAATTTTTCTGGGATAGAAATTATGGGGTTTAGTATGTACGAAAGTAATAGTTCACGAATAACAAGAAATTAAAGCAGGGAGTTCCCATGTGTGGGTATTTATTTATTTGTTTGTGTTTTTGAAACCTAATTTCTGAGGTTGGATATATCAAGTTATCAGTGAATATTTAATGTAACAGGCACAACAAATATAAATAAAACCTCTAGTTCAGAGAATGATCTAAGATGAACTGATGACCTTCACTTTCAGGGACAAAAAAAGGTAGAAATCTGTTGGGAAGTTTGCCCTCATGGCTAGGAGAAATGGCTAGAAGGTCTAAAAGGATCTTCTTCCAACTGCTCTCAAGACCAGCAAATATGAAGAAAGTGAAGAGATACCTAAAGGCAGGGGGACATGCAATCCATTATGAAGGCTCAGGACCAAAGGATACCTATCAATCTCTGTAGTTCCACTGGGGGCCCATGAATCTTTGCACAAACTGCAGTGTCATTTTATGTCCTTACGCAGCCCTTCAGAAGTAACAGAAGATAATACAGGTGATCGTGTCTTGCCTTCTGAATATGAAAATGGCCAAAACCCAACCCATGAATGACAATTTTCTTCTATATTGCATAGTCAGGGATCAGAAAATGTTGCTTGCTAAACCAGGTGCTTTTTTCATGCTGTCGCTTTACCTCTGTATTAATTGACCTCGCTTCCCAAAGCGAGCCTCTAATTGCTGGGTGACTGCATGTGCGCTGTCAATAATTCCTAATGATTGACTCCAATTTCTCACTGCTTTGAGTTGCACTTTCTTGTTCCCTCAAACGTCCTTTTGTTCTCGGTGCCTGCATGTTCCCCAAACTGTGTGGTCTCTCCTTTATTTCACTCCACCAGCTGCTTTGGCATTCTGCGTCTTCTGTTTCAGATACATGAGTGGCTCCGCACATTTGTGTTGTGAGTATCGTGGCTTCAAACCCTGAAAGACTTTTATGTACCCAAACGTTCTTGTTACAGATTTTATCCTGCCATCTGATGTGCAATATGGCCCACAGATGGTACAGATGAAACCACCTACAAGCTGTAAATGTTGATAGTCAAAATAGAAAGTTAGAAGAAAACATATAATGAATGTTTCTTCCTTTAAAAAAAAAAAACAACAAAATAAAAATAAGTCCAAATAAGAAAAGAGTTACTGCATTAAAGCTACCAGAATAATTCTCACTCACTCATTCAGTAGATACCTCTAAGTAAAATTAAACCATTTGAAACGTCAAGGGAAATCTAGACAGCAATTACTGGTATCAATTTAGATATAATTAACTAATCTAGATCATGCGCTATAGCAGGTGTTCTAAAGGCACCCTGATAGGCTTTCGAATCTCTCATGAACTTTTAAAGGCACTAATAAAGTCACTGTCTAAATCTGTCCAGGGTCATACAGCAACAAAATCTCAAGGGACTGGCACTGATATTGCTTAATTCCATTATATTTTGCAGAGTATCAACAGCATAGTTGACATATGCAGCATACAAGTGGATATATTAGAAAGTCAGCCTAAACTCTTTTGCAGCTGTTTAATTCCAAGATTCCAGAAAAATTAAGTGCAAAACTTAGAACAGGCAAAGTGGCAAAGCTTTAGGACTTGATTCTAAAGCCTGATCTGACTTGGCAAAGTCTCTTAAATTCTACTTCAGCCAAATTTTTAGCTATTTGTTGCTAAGGGTCATATTATTAGCAACTTAATACACAGATATCAAGGTAGTTAGGCTAATGGAGGCAGCATGTCTTCAGATAATCCACAGTTGAAGCCCAACTCTAAGCAATTCAAGTATGTGAATAGTCCTGTCAAAGCCAACTGATTTAGCTATTCACGTAAAAATTAACTTAATCTCACAATCATAGTAGGCAACGAACAAACTAGTTGCAAAGCTTTATTTGGGAGGTACCTTGTTTTTGAGAACAAGGGTGACATGGGAATATATGCAAGAAAGTTCTGGAGCTCATGGCTGTAGCCATGAGCTAAGAAGTACCAAAGTAGTACACAGAAGCGCCAAAGAAGTTGATAGGAAACCAACTTACTTTGGTATTTCCTACCAAAGAAGTTGGTAGGAAAAAAGTTGTGTATCCAGACATACAAATTCATATGAATGCATAAAAGGCAGTGATGTATATATTTTGTATATATGTGTTGCATAATCTGAGATGGCTTGAGGATTCTGAAGTTTGCTATGAAAACTGCATAACGATATGCCCCAACCTTTGGTCTCTAACCTATCTACACAGATACACAGACCCATTACTACACTTCCACATCCCATTCAACGAAATGAAGTGCAAATCAGCATGCCATAAAAAAGCATTGCTCAAATTAAAGTAAACCAAACCAGAACCAATAGTGAAAACCTCCTTAGAAGCAGGTTTTCTGCACACAGAGAATGTGTGGTGTGATTAATGCAGAGAAAGGTGAAATTTGTTGAATGTTCAAAACTGTCTATTAGACAGACCTCTGTTCCTCATTTCTGGACAGAGCAGCATTACTGCAGTGCCACACTATTCCTGTGCCATCTCTACTTTCTCCAAGACGTAGGGACACTTTTTTCCCTTCCCACTTTTGGATGGAAAGTCTCACTATCTTTGGTAATAAGAAGAGTCACTAGGATGCTGGAACTTAATGTTTTAACCAGGAAAAGGATGTGAGAAAAGTACTGGACGTCTTTTTTCTCAATGTCACACAGCAGCAGGTCCCTGTCAAAGAAAGCAAACACAACCACTTTTTTTCTCAGTTGTTCAGGCAGAAACATAGGACACTGCATAAGACTGAGCCCTATGGTCCCAAGAGAACAAAAAGGCTTTTTGAAAGCCTCTCAAGATATAAGCCCTGTGAAAAGCGTAAAGTGAAAAAGGGGAGATGGTTCATATCGTAGCTTAATCAATCAAAGGTAAAAGGAAGAAAATGCAAAATCATTTTTCCCCAGTTCAATGGATATTTACCTTCAGAGCACCCAGCTACATTTCTAGTCTCCTTCCCATGCTCCCGCCAAGTCCAACCTTCATTTTTACACACACTAAGGATCGAAACCCGCTGCTTTCTCACGTAGACTTGGGCTCCATTTACACCTTCAAATGTTCCATCTGTTCTGTTTCCATCCCCTCCAACGCACTCAGATCCCCTCATCTCTACCTGCCCTGCCTCGAGCCCTGCTCCATTTAATCCCCAACACAAATTTGCGCATGACGTCCTTCTCTAGTCCCCCTCCAGTGCCCTCCTAGCATGCTAGGCCCCTTCAGCTTTCTACCTTCCCGCTCTTGGACTAGCTCCATCGCTAACTAAACCCAAAACAAAACACAGAATCATAGAATGGTTAGAGTTGGAAGGGACCTTAAAGATCATTGAGTTCCAACCCCCCTGCCATGGGCAGGGACACCTCCCATTAGACCAGGCTGCAAACACGGAGTGACCCCTCCAACTTCAAACTCTGCTCACAGCCCTGAGCGGCTCGCACCGCAGGGCCGCCTCTGGCAGGGTGATGGAGATGGGACTCCACCATGGCAGATGCCATCTTCTGCCTCCCCTGGCCACCCAGCCACGCTGGATTTCTGACAGGATTTTGAGGCTTCCCGGCTCCCACCTTGGCTCCCCTCCGCGCGGGGCCCCCTCCTTTCCCTCCCCAAGGAGAAGCACCCCAGCTGGCTCTCTCCTCACCGCCCCTCGGCCGCCATGTCGCAGGCCTCACTGCCCTCCTCCATGGACCCCGTGTCCACCCCAGCGCCCCTTCCCCACCCGCCACCACCTCAAGTCCCTCTCACGACGCGGCCGCCCCCCCTTTTCCCAACCCCGAGCAGGAGGGGCGGCACCTGCGGGTCCGCCCCATTCTCCTCCCCTCCCCTCGCCTCCCCTCCCCTCCTCCCGCCGGAGAGAGGGAGAGACCGAGACCCGCAGGGAGACGGCGGCACCGAGGGCGCCGGGCGGCACTGCCGAGCGCGGTTGCTCGGTGTGAGGGGAGAA